CAATCCAGTCGTACTACAATTATGGAAAAATTATATCTTCACCATCAAGTTATCTTTTGGATTTTTACATTTCTTGATAGTAGGCATGCATTTACAAGCTTTGCAATGACCACAATGGCACAAACCTTTTGGTGGTTCCAGAAACTAGATTTTATTTTCCTGTTTCTAAATGGCTATGTACTAGCCTATCACATAAATTCTTCTCCCTTTGATAAGTAATGCTTGGATGTTCGTGTAATATGCCCCTCGAGGTTTCATCTTGCATTAAAATTGGCCAATATTTATCAATTATATTATAGATATAATTGGATTGTGCCGTATAATCACCAATCATCTGAACTGCCTGTTTTTCCTCTCTATCTAGACTTAATTGATTTTCCCTTATTTATTTCTTGTTCGATAATATGCCGCTTTCAACACCCTTTCTGGGTATCTTCACTTCTCCTGCCTTCTCCAAACACTTCACCCTTTTGTGAATAAAGCTGGCCATACACCTTACAACCATCGCACAATTTTCGTTGTGCAATGGTTGTAAGGTCATTAAAATTTCGTACGTCCTGCCCATCTTGGACAGGCAGATTGTACTTGCGATCATCGCAAGCCCTCCGCGCTGAGTGGAGTGCTTGCCGATGATTGCAATGCTGAGCGGGCAGTGTGCGCTTGTGCACACCGGCCCGCGCGGCTTTCGTCTTCCGAGCACGCTACCAACCTGCCAAAAACCGTACGATTTTTGGCAGGTTTTCCAGCGTGCTAGGAAGACGAAAGTCGTACGACCTTAGAGTAGATTATCTGACGATAATCGTCAGGTGCATGGGCACCTTAACCCTGTTAGAGAGAGAACAATCTAGGACAACATAGCTGAACTGAAAAGTGAGCTGAATTGGAGAATGTTTCCCAATGTTCTCCTGCCTTCGCAAACTCTTCACCCTTGTGTGAATAACCCTGTAAATCTTTTCCACAATACATCACATTCCTTTTCAAATACATCCTCTACAGAGCAATTCCTTTTTGCTCTAATACAGTATTTCACTGGGATACCACTCTTTAGAGTGACAGGATAATGACTGTCCCTAAATAAAAAGAAATTGTTGGTTTCCCATATATTTTGTTTTGTAAACCTCACTATGTAGCCTTGTAAATAGTCAAATCCAGAAAATGTATATCTTCCACCTGTATTTCACTTGTGAAGAACATTGTTATTATTTAGTACTTTAACAAACCTTTTAAATCTTTCTTTCAAGTCTTCCCATATCATAAATGCATAATTTATCAAATTAATCGAGGGAAACAAAAATTAAGGACATTTTGGATGTAAATTCCATTAATTCCTCACAGAGGAATATTTTTTCCTTCTGCCAATCTAGAAATACATTTGCAAATGTTGCTGCACAGCAGGTTCCCATCGCTGTTCCTCTACATTGTTCATATATAGTGTAGCCCCTACATAAGTTGCTACAGGTTCAAATAGATGTCTGCTTGTAAATAGCTAATTGTTACTGTGCAGCCTTGGGACACAGAGACTTGTAGTATAGAGTTGCAGTGCAGAGCCAGGAAGAGACTGTGCTCTACAGAAATGCAGAGACTACCATTCCCAGGGGGCTTTGCAGTAAGCAAGAGGAGTGGGCTTAGCTGAAATATCCTGGCATGCTCAGTCCGGGAAGAGCCAGCAGACTGTTTGGATCAGTGTGTGTTGCTGATATTCTTACAGGGGAGCTTTAGACCCTGTGTGGATCAACCGTGTGCCGTGGACCAGTTTAAAACGGACCTGGAGAGAGAGACTTGCAGGTCCGCTGTGTCAGTGCTGTTCGGATGATCGTTTCAGCGGGACGCAGTGTGATCCTGTTCAGTGGAGATATTAAGGCCTGGATGACAATTTGCATTCTGTGACCGGGAGACCTGCTGAGTGATAGCCATATCATTGATCAACTTCTTGCAGTGACCAGATCCTACGTTCCCTGCATGACAACGGCAGTGACAACTGAAGGAGGTCAGCTGGAGAGGAAAGAGATGCCTGCCTCTCGCTGACAGACTCAAGAGCTGCTGAACAAGCACCGGATTTGGTGAGAGGCCTTTTGCCATCTGTATCCATCATAACTGATTACTTCAGTTATACACAGTATGGGCCCCAACGATGGCTAGCCTAGACCAGTGCTACTAACCAGTAGTATAGCGAGCTGGGGAATATTTCGGACTGAGATATTAGCAACCCAGTCAATAAAGTCAAGGATAACTATTTAGATAGCTCAGTACTCTGTCAGCCAAATAGATAGCCGCGTCTACAGAATGTCTGAATACCAGAAGTACATTGTTGAATGTTGTTTCTCTTTGTTATTGTATTTCTCTCATTTGTTGGTCAATTATACTAAGTTATTTTACTCAGTAAAACATGTACAAAACTTCACAAGTTGTGTTGATGTGCTGTGGATGCTGTCTGGGTGGTAGATCAAGTAGATAGAAGAAGCTCAGCTACAAATTTGGAGTGTTCCTTCAGAAAATTCCCTCTTTTACAAGCTTCCATTCCCGTTCATGCTCTATGTTGGTATACAGGGCTTCCACGTCTAGGCTAGCCAAAAGAGTCTGTTCACCAATGGGTAATTCATTCAACTTCTTAACAAAATCCCTGGAGTCTTTAATATATGATGGACGTGTTTTTACAAATGGTCTCAAAATTGCATCCACATATCTACTGATATTCTCAGTGAGGCACTGATTCCCAGATATAATGGGACATCCGGGTGACGTTTCCACATTTTTATGCACCTCCGGTAGTGCATAAAAAGTAGCAATAGTAGGATTTTTATTTAAAAGAAAGCTAAACTCGGCTCTAGATATTCATTTATTTTCTAAGGCTTTCCTCAAGATATTTTCTAAATCTTGTACTTATTCCTCTGTAGAATCTTTCTGGAGTGTTTAACCATTTCTAGTATCTTGTAATAATTTAAGACACATAATCAGGTAAACATCTCTGTTCTTTAAGAATAGATTTCCACTCTTATCAGCCGGTTTTATTATTTTTTTTACTAATTCCATTCCAATTCTCTCAACTTCTTTATCTTTTCAAATGAACAATGATGTTTTATTTTACATTTTGGTTTCTTTTTTTCTCAACCGGTGAGTTCTTCTTCCACCAATTTCACAAACAATGGAATATTTGGATATCCTGATAATGGATGCATTATTTTGCTCTTCAGTTGCAATTTAGTAAATGGACTGAATATTTCTGTCTCCGTTGTTTGCTTTCCTTTTTGTAGGGATTCCAGGCTTCTTAGAGTAGTAAGTTCATCTGTTGTCAAATTCATTATTTTTCCTTTGTCATTATCCTTAGCATATTCCTTAACAAGTGCTACTTTACTTGCAAACAGGTTTAGGTCTTTCACCCAATTAAAAAGAACAAAGTCAGAGGTGGGGACAAATGTTAATCCATTTTCTAAAAAATGTTCTATGATGTTTATTCAACTGCATTGCATATTTTCAACTTATGATCAATTGCTTGACTTTCTCCTTGTTGAGTTGCCTGTACTCCACAAGGATTTTTTTATTCATATACATCTCCCTCTGCCTCATCTCGTACCTGTGTAACACCGCTGATCTCTGTTCCTCAGATCTCTGTTTGGAGTATCCCTCTTCTTGTCTTGGGCCATAATTACCAAATTCTAATCCACTAGCTCCTCCATAGCCTTCCCTTTGTTGACCTACGTGTCTATTTCCTCTATTTTTTCCTCTATTTCCTCCATTTCCTTTGCTAAATCGATCTACAAACAGATTTTCAAATTTATCCCCGTGTTCCCCATTGCAAGAATTTCCTGATTCACTTGATTATCATATTTCTGATCTTTCATAATACTGAGTTGTTCCCCATTTCCTTCTTTCAGGCCACGTATATACTTCACCTCTTTGGTAATAATTTAAATCTCTCAGAAATGTCTTATCTTTCCTGTTTTATTTTCTTCTTGTGTTTTTCAACATGTTTCTTGACAGATTCCTCCAATTTTACTAAATCATTATTCCTTTGTGTCTTAAATTTTAGTACTTTTGTTGTTCAGCTTTCAGCTGTTCGTTCATTCTTTGAAAATTGTTTTTTCTCATAGTCAAGTAAATATTGCATATTCAATAAAGTGGAATATTTTCTGTCGGTAATTCTCCCAAGCCTTTCAAAAAATCCTTATCTTCATTATGTAAACTTGGTTTGATAACATTTCTCAAGCCCTTTACAGTGATTTTCTGTTTAATATACATTTCAAGACTAGCTACCTCCCACCAGGAATATGTATGCTGTTTATACTCTAAATATTTTTTTTCGAGGCTTAATTAATTCCTATTTCTTTTTCCCCAACTGGTAATTCCTTTTTCGAAAATACTAGGATCGTTACCAAAGCTAATGATTGGAAGATAATTTCCTTTTCCAAAAAACCTGCCATATTTCTAGCCACGAGAAAATCTCCACAAAAACTCTAGTAACTTTATTTTGACCAACACTACTAAACTTCCAACAATTATTATTTTCAGGGAGATGTATTTTCTTTTTAAAAAAATATATTCACTCTACTTCTGGGGTCTCAATGTAGCACTTTTTTCACAGTATCATGTACATTGCCACCTGTGCATTCTCTCCTTAGAGCTATATGAAATTTGATCTTTAAATAAAGTTAAAATTGTATACAACTCTAAGGGGAGGATGCACAAGTGGCAAAGTGTGTCATACTGTGAGAAAAGTGGTACAAGTGCCATAAGATATTGAACGACTCTAATAGCCACAGTCATGACTCCTAGAGGCAGATGCATGATGGGATTTTTTGTTTCACCACAGTTGTCTACCCTTCTTCTAAGCTAACCCATAGGTCCACACTCTGTTTGATCTGCTCATAAACTGCTAAAAGAAAATGTGAATGGCTAGTCTAATGTTATGCTGCATGTCAGCTACAGTCTATCACACTTCTACTATTAATCTAGAACACATAAAACACATTTATTATTGTTAACATATGTTTGCCATCTTACAGGAGTCGCATCATCTCAAAACCAGCTTACAGAATGAGGCATAAAATAGTGACATCTTTGGAATGGAAGTGCTGCCCAGGATACAGTGGACAGCATTGTGTGGTCTCAGGTTTGTTTGCACTCCAGAATTTGGCTTTTTACTTTAGCTTTTTACTTTTTGCCATCATAAACCTCAACTCAAAACTAACTTCTGTATGTCCATAGTTCTGATCTAATTTAATGCATTTTCTTTGGTAGAGTCCTCTATAGCTTGGGAAGTTGAGTAAAGTGCTGCACGGATAAGGCAAAGGGTCTATTTATACATGTGTTCACCCAAGTTCCCACACAACTTGCACCCACATTTCACACATTTTTCTATTTGGATTCAAATATAAACATGTGTTAATCCTGAGTTTGTGAATGTTGTGTGAAATCAGTTAAACATAGTCCCCAAATTCTCAGTAGCCGAGCACACACTTGTGCGCGCACGCACACCCACACACAGTTAATAGCTTAGGAGCTGTGAAAGCAATAGTATAAAGAAACATTTTAAACAAAAAGTTACAATATAAGCATTAGATTAGACATATGTAAACCATACGTTAGTTCTAGACAATTGGAAATTGAATGACACCAGCAATTATGATTATTTAAAAACTAGAAATGTTAAAGGATAAGTTATTTTTGTACCCCTTTCCCTTGACCTAATCTAACCCCACCTCCCCCTCCACAGATGCATTTACATACTGTACCACAATCCTTCACTGTCCTGACCATGTCTGCACTTTTACAGTCCCATTGACTGCACTTTACTGTCCCATAGAAGTCTATGGGGCACTAATGTGCAGGTGCAGCCAGGGCAGTGAAGACGTGCACCACAAGATAAAAAACAAACAGCAGAACCATGGCCGTTGGATCAAGGTTGGTAGGCATCAGTGAAAGGGGGAGTATGGGTTAGGTTTGTCAGAGGAAGGGGCCAAAAATGATGCATGCACTTTGTTTAAAAGTACCCTTATTCTTTAAATCAGCTTACATTTGTGTAAAATGAAGCCATACATGCTATGTCTGCAATAAATGAAGTCTTCTCTCTGATGACAGCTATAAAATGAATCTGCTATTTCATTATCTTAATATAACACATTTTAATTAAAAATAATTTCTATTTGGTTACAATATGCTGTAATTTGTCACATTCTATTATCAGAAAAAAAGGGCATTACAATTTAATACATTTAGTTTTTCATCTATCAAAGACAGTTACAGGTTACCCAAGATTAGTTGAAGGTAAGCAGAGGGCTTTCAAGGTGATATATCAGTAGCTTATCTAAGTTAATTGTCCATATTAAAACAGCAGGATCCCCTTAAGGATGCTCACTGCAAAGAATCGTATAACTCACCCATAAAACTTTGATTTCTGATGGTCTTGCTACTTTAGCTCCTTTGTCAAAAGTTCAACAACAAATGATAAAGGTAGCTGAAGTATGTGGTTTGTGTGTGTGTGTGTGGCGGGGGTCACATAAATAATGATTTTAGATTTAATTATACATAAATAGATACCTTTGAAACAGAATAGTGTACATATAAAGAGCACCGACTTGTGTGTATAAAGTATTTTTTAAATATTATTCTAAAATAAAAGAGGTTCAGTGTTAGTTACAAAAGAAGTCTCACAAAAATGATTGATTTTTAATTGTATCTGCCAGGGGACCAAATGCATATAGCACTTGGTACCGCTCGGATCAGTGGCAACATTGCGCCATAAAAGCACCTCTTTATTTATATTAATGTAGCTCCACCCCAGTCTGAAACCTAAAATATGGGCGTTCTTGTGGGGGGAGGTACAACAACCACTAAGCCCCAACTACTTCTCTTAGCTGATTGTTTACTATTATGAATGAACAATCAGCACTATAGATCTGTCTAATAGAGCTTGCAGCTGCTAGTAAGAATACAGGGCATCGACAGCTCTATCACACAGCCTAGACAGTACTGATTGTTCATTATTAAAAGCTCATTCAGCACTGCAGGGCTGTGATCTCTCTACTGGGGCTGTGTTTACAGATAGATCACATAGCCCCACAGCGCTAAGTGGGCTTTTATAAATGAGTAATCAGTGTTGTCGTATCCAGTACAGTGTATGACACAGCCCCAACAACAAAGTGCATTCATTCATGAATGGCAATGCTGGTCTTCAGACTGACCCCTGCTGCCAGAGAACAGTGCTGTCACTCACAACTCCTCTCTTTGCTAGTAGCATGGTCAGATGTGCTTACTGTCCAACCATGCTGCTTTGCAATGGCAGAACGACATGGCAACATTTATACGCACTTGGTCCCCTAGTGGATTAAATAAAAATGTCTAATTTTAAGTGAGATTTCTCCTTTAAAGATTAAAGGAGAACTATGGGGTTAGGGCTTTTCCCCATAGTTCTCCTAAGGGTCACTAGTGGATTAAATAAAAATGTCTAATTTTAAGTGAGATTTCTCCTTTAAAGATTAAAGGAGAACTATGGGGTTAGGGCTTTTCCCCATAGTTCTCCTAAGGGTCACTAGTGGATTAAATAAAAATGTCTAATTTTAAGTGAGATTTCTCCTTTAAAGATTAAAGGAGAACTATGGGGTTAGGGCTTTTCCCCATAGTTCTCCTAAGGGCAACGGGGGGACACAAACTAGCGTCCTCCCGTCACCCTAAGCTCAGTATATAGGGAGTGCAGCTGGCGGTATATTGAGACGCCGCAGCTGAAACGGATCCCGACAATTATGTCTGGATCCGCCCAGCTGCGTGAGTGGCAGGGCCAGCTGTAGCCACCCCCTCACACGTCCGTTCGCCAGTCAGCGCTGGAGGATTGGAGCAGGGAGGGGGGAATCCAGTGGCTCTCTGCCGTGACAGGATTGAAAAGTGAGCGAACGCCGGCATGTGTTCGCTCACTTCCCGATCTACTGAGCCGACCTGTGACAGTTTCATTGTCACAGGTCGGCTAGAACTATGAGGATGAGTGAAAAGCACTCACCTCATAGTTCTCCTTTAATATCTTTTACATTTTACGTACTTTTTTTCTGCTGTGCAGATTTTTCTTGGAGCACATAATGCAAATCTAAGATGAAACACTGAGCCTAAGGCCCTGACTCTTTTGAGCTCAATGTCACTTAAAGAGACCCTGTTGCTGGATCATTAATTTTGAGAAAAACCATAAGATTATACGTGCAATTAATGCATTTTTTCCATGTTATTTGCCTATAAAAGACTCCATTGTGTAGACATCAAAAGCTCTGAGACTGCTGGGTGGCACCAGTGACAAAATGCTGCACACATCCTGAATGATGAGCTATTGATGCGGTGAATGTACCCCAGCTACCCAGAGAGTGTCCCTGTACTATAATTGCACAGGTACCCATTGATGGCACACTGCTGCTTGTGCAGCCTTTTGTACAGGGCTAATGTTGAGTTCCATCACATGTGGTTGCAACAGACGAGGCGGTTGGTAGGCTGTTAAGGTTACAGCTGCGATTTTGCCAGGCAAGCCACGGCCAAGTATGACCTCATAAAGTGGCCACAAACCCTTATGGCTTCACAAAGGACATCCTGGAGGCCAGGGTACATCGTGATATATTGCTGCACCACAAGGTTGAGGACAAGTGCTAGGCCAGGCAAATGTTTGATTTTTTCCATGTAAAGGGTAGCTCAATCACTCACGACTTCGTCTGGCACAAGATGGCGTGGGATAAGCCACCACTCAGCCTGGTCCTGGAAAGTTGCCAGAAGGTCTGGCTCAGTTAAAGGATGCGGCCAATGAGAAGGATGGGCTACAGGTGACTGTGCTGTCACTATTAGACAAAATATGTGGCGGCACCACCAGCTCCAGGAGTGTGCCCCATTCTGTATTCTTCCCAGCCGGCAGAAGAGTCACCCAGTGTGCCGTGAAGGATATACAACATCCCTGCCCATGAACACTAGACCATGTATCTGTGGTCATGTGTACCCAGTGACACAAACACATTACCTTCCACATGCTGGTGGGATTGCCTTCTGGACAAAATAATGGGGGCTAGGTACCTGCCACTGTAGTGTATCGCAGGCCACAAACTCATGAAAGGGGGATGTTTCCATGAGTTGAAATGGAAGCAGCTGCAAAGCCAGCTGTTTTGCGAAGCTGGCATTAAGATACTAAGCATGGTTGTAATTCTGGAACTTTTTTTCTTGCACTCTAGCAGCTATGCAAGAGACACCTGCCTTGGAAAGGATTGTGCTGCAGACGGTTTAGTATGTGTGGAATAATTCTGTAGAGGTTTAGTCTTTTACTGAACCCTTCTCTGTGTGGCCCTATGACCCTCTTCCCCATTTGACATGGTGTTTTCTAAGCCAATGAAACTCCTTGTGAGACTTCCCTCCCTGTTTCTAGAGGCCACATATGTTGAAATGGATGCAGCAGGAGAATGTTGTATAGGGGGTGGAGATGCAGAAAGTAAGGAATGAATAGGAGTGCAAGCTGCCGACTTGCCTCATTGAGGTGCTATTCCCATTGAGCTTTGTGGTGCAGAGTCATGTGTTGTGTGGGTACCCAAATTTATGTGTGGGGGTACCAACATGGCTTTTCTTTTTACCATGGCTGATAACGCTGGAGGCAGAGGCTGCAGACCACAATGGTGCTGTCATCAGCAGATACCTTAAAGCAGAACTCAGGGCAATTTTGTTCTTAACCCCTGCAGTGGGGCTACTGCAAGAGTTAAGTGCTCATTTTCCCCAGTCATCTTCCAGGACAGTTTTTGTGTTTCCTCCGGCTACACAGGGACATTGTAATGTTTGTTATTTTCAGGGCTCAAATTTATTTGCCTTAAGGCTGAGCCTAACCCGGCTATGCGTTGGGACCTACTCCAGGTGTGGCCTGCTGCAGCGCATACAGGGTTTTCCCTATCAGACCCCCATCCGATTCTAGGCCAAGGTTCCCCTCCATCATTCAGAGAAGGCAACCATCCTCCTGCACGTGTGTGGCGCCAGACGGTGACCCCCCAGGTGTGCAGCAGTGGAAAGGTGTTCTACCTGAGCTGGCTGGCTGCTACTACAGTCCCTAAAGCCTGTCTCCTCCTCCGGTTCAGTCATGATATGTCCTGTGATGTCCTGACATCCTATACA